GGCTACAATCATGCCTCATTAAGAAATGATATGGTTACTTTTTAAGAGTTTCTCGAAACTGCTTTTCTAGACAAACGCTTTCTAAAGGGCTCTGGGCAGCTACCACTATAATATTCGGATTCAGCATCGTTGATAACCTATAACCCAGTAGATTTGGCTGAAAAAGCGATGTGACAGTTCACGAGGTCCCCTCGTAAGAGCGACGTCACTTATTTTCTTCTTTGAAAAACCGGTTGTTAGTAGCGTAAATCTTTACCGTTGAATGTCTGTGAGTGGTGTAGCTCTGTAATAATCTTGCCATGTGGGATTACTAAAATTGTTCCATATTGATGATACATTGGGAGAAGTAGCCGCCGTCGAATCAGGATATATTGTGGAGGAATCTATTTGTGCTAAAGAAGACCATTGTAAATTTGAATTCATTGATGTGTTCCATGATGGCTGATAATGAGGATAATGGTAATAATAACAACCAGCGGTAGGATTAGAAGGTGGAGAAGGATAATTTTGTATATTTTCATAGGCTGGTGTATGGTCCTTTAAAAAAAATGAACTGTTTTAAAATAGAAAAATGCTTTTTATTTCAGAATGAAGATATACCAATGGCAAAGGTATTACTGCATTTTTTCGTGTGGTTTTACACTTTTGTTGTCTTTTAAAACGTGATCTTCGATTCTGAAACCAAATCTAAACAAGATAATTATTATACATAGAAAATAAGATTTTTTTATATTAATACCGATATTTTTTCATGTTGAACATTCAATAATTCGGCTAATTGATCAACAACTGCCACTTCTGGATAATGAGTACTTTTAAATGTTGCTTCCAGTGTTTGAAGCTATAAAGAAAAAGGAGACATATAACTATACAAATAATTTGTCATAAAAGATCATCTTACCTGCTGTGCGGTATATTGAATTCGAGATCGCTTTCGATATGTAAACGATTTTGATTCATAAATATCAGCTTTATCCGATGAACAATTTGAATTGGGTTCTGATTATGATAAAAACAACAACAAAAAAAATAAATGCATTCTTTCACTATCGAGTTAATCGATAACTACCTTTTTCATCATTCTCATCTTGTTGAATTAGGGGTGTCGGTGGCGTTGGGGTACGAGATATAAAACCAGAATCTGTCAGTTTTTTCTCACCGTTCGGAGTAGTGATAGCTAGAAAAACAAATTACATGCGAATGGGGTCAATACTTTTAGTCAGATAATTCTTTTGTATACTTACACGATAGATTCAGATTATTAAAATTGTATGCGTAAGGTTGATAATCGGACATCGTTTTAATTCAACAATAAATCTAAAATGAACGTTAAAAATTTGTCTTAATTGATATTTTATATTCTATCGGTAAATCGACAATATGGTGCATGTTCTTTATTTCTTTTTCTTGATAATAATTCTATAACTTTATTTTTCATCTGATGACATTCGTCTATTAAAATGATATATTCGAAACTAACCGATATGTGTTCATAAAACAGTAACCAATGAGATAAAACATCAAGCAAAATAAAAAAGAGAAAATTAGCCACAGTTTTGTAAAGATGAGTGACAGCTTAAAATTTTCAAATTATTATCTGTTGTCTACTTCTACAACGGACGAGCATTGAAAGAGTGATTGTTGAACTAGGATCAGCTTTTGTTCAAATAGATCAAATATTAGACATGAAAATAAAATAAAAAAGATATATATGTAGTTGGCGTAAGAAAAATCTAATCTTCCAGATTTCACGTAGTTTTACAGAGTACTGTCTACATTGTTTATGGTCAGTAATTCAATTAAATCAAGATCCCAATGTGAAAGACTTTTGAAATTTACTTTTGCAAGGGATTGCTAGAGACTTTAATATTGATGACACTGATCCCCAAAACCATCTTATTTCATAAACACAGGAAGTTTTCGTTCATGATATAATTGATCAAATATATTTTTTATTCATCATTCCGTGAGTTTGGACTCCCTTTGCTGAAAAAATCCGTCTATAGAAAAAATTATTCGTTTTTAGTGAAATAATGACTCAGTTACCAATATTTTTACATAACATCGTAGTAATTTTCGCAAAAGTTTAAATCTCTAAATATTAAAACCTTGATTAGTTTTTCAAATCATATGATGCACGAAAAGCGAAAGACATAATGCTTATGTTGTTGTTGTTTTGTTCAATTACAAGTTTTATATATTAAATAATTTGGAAATAAAATTCTTCTTTCATGTGTAACAGATAAGCTTTTATTTAATGACACTAAACAATTTGACACATTTCCTCTAAACGATATGCTGCTTGAATATGATACATTTTCTTGTCTGTTGCTAATACTTTTACAATTAATAATTTGTAGAATATTAGTCGATATATTAATCAAATCTGAAAAAATCAATTTTCGAACTGATATTTACTGGATAATTTGTATATCAAAAGAAGTATTGTATGCCAAAAGAAGTATGCAGTTTTCAATTTGATTTTGCTAACCTATAGGATTGCAGAGATATTTATATTTATTCAGTTAAGCTTTCTTTTTATATTGAGATTTATTGTTCCCAAAGGTTAACAATTGAAAAAATAACACACCGATAACACATTGGATAGTTTTCACTGTCACAGAGAGAAGTTCATTCACAAAACATAGCTCTTTTTATAAATATAAACAAAATGCAAACACAAGTAAAATAGCTGTATAACAGCCACACGAACCTGTCGTGGTGTACAAAATAGAATTGGGTTAGAGAATATTCTGTTAAGCTTTAGAAAAGCTAAATGTAGTAGATTTTTCAGTTTTTATGATCAAAAAACGTTGTTTTCGAGATTTTTTTTGATTTAAACATTTATTATACTTTTTCAATAGTCAAAAACGGATCATTTGGAACAAAGTAAAACACTTCTTATTTTTTTCTGTCGCTGGAAATTAATGATGTCAGATTATCAATTCTCGTAAAAAGAGCAAATAATGTATTAAAAGGAGTTGCAAAAACAAAGAGTTAGAGATTTCTTCGAGAAAAAGGGAATAACCAATAGTCGCAGTTGTGGCCGACAGCACATTCCTCTACTAGATTCATTTTCACTGTATTTTTTCAAGGTTAACAATTTCAGACTCGACAAATACCCGTGATTTTTTATGAAAATGAACAGAAAATATCGAAACTGAACTATTTAAAAGTTTTATATTCATCTCAGATTTAATCTGTTTGTATTATCGAAGCGATGCCGTTTCTTCCCATAGATAGATGTTACTAAATGACAAAGTGTCAGGAGCTGTTACTCATCTTTTGACCTTCTCAATCGGTAATCGTTTCTCAGTTTGAAATTTTTTTTAAACATGATCGCACAGAAGCACGATTGGTACAAATTTACGTCATTTTTCTCATTTTAATGAACATGTTACTAATGATTAAATTGTTTATAACAGTATTAAACACAGTTTGATTCACTCAATAACTATTTGTTGTGCGTTCGCAGCTTCAAACATTTATGTGTGATCTCTATTTATTTTTCTTAATTAGCGTGACCTATTTGGAAGAATGTCTGTTGTAACTCTTAACAACGACGTCATTGTGCAGAATGAAAACAAGTGAGTGAGTATGTTCCGATAAAAGTATGTTCAAAAGAGAATTATGCGAGCAAAATAATTTAAAAATGATAACTATTTTATTCTTTCTTTAAAGGTGACAAAAGTATGACTTCAGTCATCTTTTCAGTATGGATTATCAAAAACAGGCATCCAAAGCATCTGTTGGAAGAACGAAACTGAAATAGGTATTAGCTATGCGTATAGTTAGAGCCAAATCAGAACAACAATGCATTTTTAAATTACTCGAGCGATAGGAAAAAAAATATTTTTAGCAAAACTCCAAGAATGCCGAATAATACCTTTTTTTAAAACTCTAATTCTCATCTCTCCAGTCCAATGATCACTGAAATCGAATGTGCCCATTGTATCTATGGCCAACTAACTTTAAGTCTATTTCCGAATTCGAGCGAAAAGCGAAATTTTCTTTCTAATGTCAACGATCTCAATATGCAGGAGAAAGAGGTAGTTGCAGGAAAACGTTGTTTTCTCTATAAAAGACTCATTTTTAAGAAATTGTTGTTACCAGAAATGTTCTATGCATTTCACTCTATTTATCTGTAGTGAACCTAGTGGACTCTTGATACTTTTCACGCAAGTATTTTGTATTGTTGGCATTTCCGAATTTTTAGGGTGATTAATCGAGAGCATTCACATTAGGAGCAAATTCTCTCGTTGCGCTCACTTAATGCGCGTGATAGTCTCTATTGCAACTAGACATGGATTGATTATTTTATTTAATTAATATCTCTCTAATCGAATGAATGTTAGGTCTGATCCACTACAGATAGATAGAGTGAAATGCATAGAAGATATTTGGTAACAGCAATTTCTTAAAAATGAGTCTTTTATAGAGAAAACAACGTTTTCCTGCAACTACCTCTTTCTCCTGCATATTGAGGTCGTTGACATTAGAAAGAAAATTTCGCTTTTCGCTCGAATTCGGAAATAGACATTTTCTAGTGTCAACAGTTTCACATTCCCGATTATAACTTACTCAATTCAAGTTCGGTTTTAGAAATTTCTCTGCTAGTCGACTCAAGGGATTCTGCACGATTCAAACATATAAAAACAACTACCAGATTTTCACCTGGCCGCTGTAAAACAATAGATAAATATTACAACTTGTTTTTTCTGTTCAAGTTAGGAACACGCACTCTAACAAGTAAAGAGGAAGGAAAACACATGATAAGTAACGTGCTTCCATGCGAAGAAAAACATGCACAACTATTTATTAGGATAAAGACAAAAGATAACTTTTACATTGGTATTTTTGTGTTATTCGTCTGAAAACTATGTCTGGTGTTACGAACACAACTGCCGATCACATTGATCTAAAAGAACAGCAAAAGTTTGTATTTTTATTCTGATAATTTTACTAAGCTGCTTCCTAAAAAGCTTCTGCGATTTCTTGGCGACCATGCGTGTAAGGAGCAGGTATTCTCTCGCTTCGAAGAAAAGTTCTCTTTAAATTCCTTTTCTCTTAGATCTATTTTATCTATTGTCAAAATTTAGTAGCAGTATTAAATTAAGATACAGCGCGTGATATTTGCTCTTCAAAACATTACACGCTCTCCCCCGTGATTTTTTTCTCGATTAGGTGAATGAAAATAGGTAAATGTAGATTTATATTCTATTTTTATCTATTATATCACAGTTCTTTTGCTCTCGTCGTAATTTATCTTAATTTGATTGTATAGAAAATCTAAAAATGCCCTCTGTGGAAGTTATTGAGTTATTGTATTGCTTTGGCGACGCTAATTGAAGAAAGGTTTCCATGAAACATACCAAATAACAATTTCTTAAGGAAAATTTGTACCTTTGTTACTGACATCAAAGATAGAAAATTAGTTCTATTCGTCTGAATATAAAGTGCTCCCTTTTATATAAGGCGCCGATTTTTAGCCTACTCAGTGCACATTATCGATGGAAAAAATTCAAAAAACTTAGAGGATCGTTTTTTCCGAAAAACCACTAACTTTTTTAAAAACTGAATAACTTCGTTCCACCTCATTTCGAAGCCGTGAAACTATGTTTTTCTTATTCAGCGTTGAAAACTGCATCTAGCAAACTATATTTCAAGATTCTACATCAAAAAATTTTTTCTGGGCGCGAAGCGGGAAAGTTCAGAAAAATTTTAATTGTATAAGTATCCAGGAAAAAACTATCTGGAAAAAACTATTATCTGAAGACCGGGTTTTTCGAGGCTCTTAGAAAACTTGCTCAAAATCCCCGAAAAAACAGTTTTGTAACGAAAAGCATTATAGATTCTGGCCGATGAAATATCATATTGTGAATCAGAATCAAAAACCGAATCGGATGATGTGTACCTTTATCATATCCGACTATCTTAGTTTTTGTCTAATTTTCACGTTCGCGATTTTTACCAAAAAATGAAAATCAACTAAAAATTTCGAAATACACATTAGTCGACTCAGTTTTTGATTCTGGTTCCTAATATGATATTTCTTTTGCATAAAATTGATTTCCGACGGAGAAAATTGAGACTTACGAGCAGATTTCTGACGTTTTTTGCCTCTGGTTGAGAAAAAATGATTTTTTTCAGCAACGGAAACTAGAGAGTTCATTCTTTTTTTGTTTAAAAGAGGAAAAGAAACTACATGGACTGAAAGGAGCCGATTTTAGAATTAGGTCTTACTTTTTTATCAAACTGAGGATTTTTAGAAAACCCGGAAGGCTTTTTCGGATTTTGAAGATTGTTAGTTGCCTGAAAAAACAGTAAAGGTTTAATTGAAATCGCCTGCCAGACCATGTCCCTAGTGAAAAACTTACTAAAATCTTACTAAGATCTTAGAAAAATCTTGTTAAAATCTTAGTAAGATTTCGCTTACATTTGTCTAAGATCTTAAACAAATCTTACTAAGATCGTGAGACCCAAAAATTCTAAGATTTGATAAGATTTTTCTAAGATCTTAGACAAATGTAAGCGAAATCTTACTAAGATCTTAATAAGATTATTTTAAGATCTTACTAAGATTGTACTGTCTAAGACCTTTTCAAGATTGGATAAGAATGTATTAGGATCTCAATAGCAAGAACGATAAAGTTTTTTAAATAATGCTCATCTGAGATTCACTGAAAATTTTTCAAGTTTTAATTCGTATATCCAACTTGAAGAATGAAGAGAAATTTCATATTTTGAGGTGTCCAACTATGGACCTTGACCTGCATGTACACTCTCTAAAAAGCTGAACACTTTCAAGAGAGCAAGTACCATCAGAGTCAGGAAGAAAAATACGCGTATAATCACTCATATTTTCGGTCACTTATATAGATGAATGAGAGCAAAACAAAAAGGTGAATGAAAGCAGAGTCATTAAATCTTATTAAGATCTTAAACTATAAGATCGTAGATTATCTTATCAAAATCTTAAAGGATAAGATCTTATAAGATCTTAGTAAGATAATGTTAAGAAGTGTCTAAGATTTTTACTAGGGGTAGTTAGGTGCCTAGTTTAAAATAAAACAAACCCGAACTCTCCAGCTTGAAGTATATTAAAAAGTCCTGGGACTCACTTCAGGATCCTTTTTGAACCTTAATATCTGGAAAACTCCTGAACCGTAAGACTTGGAGACAAAAAAAATTTTTCATCCCGTAACTCATTGTGCTTAACATTTATGAAAAGTTTCGTCAAGGTCGGATGTACAGTGTCGGATATAATTTCTTAGGGGAGGGGGCCCTTAAGCCAAAAATAAAATAGTGTTATAACTTCAAATTTGGAGCGCCTTACAACGGAATTTTGTACTGCTTGCATATCTCTACTTATTATTAATCGCTGGAAAATGTCACTTCCTTGTGTAGCAGTTTTTTTATCATCGGTTAATGTTTCTCCAGAGGCTAGAGATATTTTTGAACAAGTGAGCCAGACAGAATAAACCTTTTTTCATCGCTAACATCAGTTAAAGAAAGTTTGATTTTATCTCTTTATATCACCGAAATATCATTGACAACAGAGTAAAAACATTTTGTCCGATGCCAGTTACTTTTCAAATTGTACCACTAAAATTATCGATAAAGCAAACGTACAATGATACAGATTATTTTTTCAAAGTAAGTGCGTCTGTCATACATAGCAGTAAAAGCAAAGCTCAAATAACTAAACAAATTGAGTTGGCAAACTGAGGTTAATAAGTCAAACATTAGTTGGATTATTATTTACATGATCTGTCTATTTTAGGTTCACCTACTACGAAATCAATATGTTAATGTCAGAATTCATTATCCATTTTCTTCTCGTGGCAAATTACATCGCTGTTCAGATAAATCCCACTGGTTTAGAAGAAGAAATTCCAATATTTTAATAGTGTTAACACTGTACTCACTCTGTTTTAAATTAAGATAATCATGTTACAAATAAATTGTTAGAGTAAGTAAAATTTTTTTTCCTCCTGTTTTTTTGATTATTGTTACGAGAAAAAGATGAAAAATGCAACGCTGAAACTCTACACCATTGATTTTCTAGGCTAACCTCTGCAGTTGCATATACATGGCCCCTTGACAAGAGCGAGAAAAAATGTCATGTACCTAAATCTGACATGGCGAATTTTATTAGATTTGAAACACATCCCTCGTCTGGAAAAAATTTCGAAAGTAGTGAGAATGCTACAGTAACAAATTGTGATACATGTCTTCATTGGACGTTTATTTAATCGTACACTGATGGACAATGGTCATATTGAATATAACTAACTTTCAACTGAAAAAAAAAGCCACCTCCGTTGAAACGTTCACAATGCCAGCTATTCAGAAGCGTTGATGTTGATCAACTTCAATATTTGTGATATGTCGATTGCGTAATAACCACCAGCATTTTCAAAAATTGACGTTGATTGACGTCAATGTCAAAAAAATTCGCTTGTCAACGAACGCAAGATCAGCGAACGTCGGTACTGTTGCCAAGATTCTGACAAACAATAATTTGGTCATCATATTTTCTCCAAGTTCTTTTCATTCAAAGATAAAACCGTTTCCTTTTATGGTGAAAGATATTTTCAGCTTACAATGTTCTTCTAAAGGGTAAACTTGATTATTTTCAATATGCGTATTTTCCTTATGATCTGTAAGAGACGATATCACTTTTATTCATAAGCTTTTTTGTGTTAAGAAAACTATCTTGTATGTTACGTCTATATTCACTGCAACAAAATTGAAGAATTCACTCTCATCCCTACAATACTTTTCTAGCGACCTACAATTAAAACAGGATTGGAATATTATGATTAATGTAATATATTAGATTTCGATTAAAGTTGTCTAGATCGGCGTAACCAACTGATACATGTGGTTCGTTTAAATAAGTATTTTTTTAAGATAAAAAGTAGTCACGTATATTTTTGTCATATTTTTGCGTTTACCAGATCTCTGCTTTTTATTGTTAAGTGTCTAATATGTTTGGATAGTTTCAACCGAAATGCGTCGCTTAATATTTCAAATAAATAATCAGTATTTATAGTAATTATTCAAATTTGTATCCTTCAGATAAAACTGCGTTGGATAAGGAGACGTACAACAACTGATACGTAATCAATATACTATTTGGCTATATACAATTTTTTTGAGACTCAAAGCGGCTCTGGAGATTTTTGATTCCAGTTTTTTAACGTATGTAAATATTGAACTTTGAAGAAGAGAATTTCTTTAATAGAGCAGCAAAGCCGTTTATGTAACAACCTCTCTTCGTTTGTTTTGACCGATAAACTTCTATTGTTGCGCTTGTTTCCAAGCCATAAATTCAAAGCAGACGAAACTCTTTTTTGGCAAAAATGCCTTTTATTATCTTAAACATTGACAAAGCAAAAGTTTAAAAAACCAAGTCATGCACCGGTTAACAAAAAAATTTAAAAAAAAGCAAAACAATGTTGCGGAACAAAAACGCAAAAAAATGAGATAGTACACACTTTAAGAAAAATTTTCTAGTTACACGCACACAGTTTGCTGTTCACACACACACACATAGTTTTGTTGTTCTTTTTTTGTGTTGTTGTTGTTATTCATTTTAATGCTTTATTTGCCATAAGCACTGTTGAGTGGTAGTGGTTGTTGACTTTGTGGAACAGATTGAGATTGTTGAACAAACTGGTTTGAACTGGGTAATTGTGATGATGGCATCATGTCATTTTGTCTTAGCATAGTGGATGAGCCAAAACTTGATACTTGCGATGATGGCATCATGTCAGTTTGTCTTGAAATAGTGGGTGAGTCATAACTTGATACCTGCGATGATGGCATCATGTCATTTTGTCTTAGCATAGTGGATGAACCAAAACTTGATACTTGCGATGATGGCATCATGTCAGTTTGTCTTGAAATAGTGGGTGAATCATAACTTGATACCTGCGATGATGGTATCATGTCATTTTGTCTTAGCATAGTGGATGAGCCAAAACTTGATACTTGCGATGATGGCATCATGTCATTTTGTCTTAGAATAGTGGATGAATCATATTCTGAACCGAGAGGTTGTTGTTGTTTAGTGGAGATATCAGCTAATGGTTGTAATTGACTACCACGATATGATTGTTGAT